AGAATATAATTGTAGTGCTGGAGAAATGGCCTCATAGGGTGATGGACACAACTGTGGGCACAGACAAAGCTCCCCCCATAGCCTAATGGTATAAAAGGCTGTATACCCACTATTTCTTTTCTTCTTTCAACTGGTGTGCTCCTCATACTTCCCATTCATTTGGACCTCCAAACTTCAGATAATCCATGATAAAGAAATAATAGGGAGGCACTGGAGGCTATCTCCACTCACCCACTTATATCAAAATCTTGCCTCTAAGATTTGCAATGCTAGCTATTTCCTTATGTTGATAGTAAATCCACATGAAAACAAATTTAAAGTCCAAGACTTCATTTTCATCTGTCTTAGACCTTAACCAACTGAGGTGGTCTATCTTAACTCATTTCACTTTTACCTTTTTACATCCTCAATTGCTTGGTTTTTAATAGTGGTTAATGAAGGGGAATGAATGAACAAATAAATGAGCAGAAAACCAAATATTTGAGAAACACTCATAGTTATGGAGGTAAAAAGAGAGCGTAAGTCAATGAAGAAAATGGAAAAAAATCATACTTTCTTAACAGACTGATAAGAGCTAGCAACTTCTCAATTTTACCATGTGTATGAATCATGGGGGATCTTGGTACAGCCAGAGACTCAACATTTCTGACAAGCTCTCAGACCTTAAGTTTCTACCAGGGAGCATGCCTTAGGTGACAAGGCTTTAGATGATTGTTCTATACATGCATGCCCCTGCAAATAAAAGACGCATGAGAAAATGCCCATAGCTCAGCACTAATTCAATATTCTCTGAATTAAAAACAAGCAAACAATAAAAACACTGCAGATTCAACTGACGGAAGTAGGGGAGAAAGCACATTAATTGATATGATAGAAGAATGAACAAGTTTATGTAACTTTCCAAAGCTATAAATTCCTTTCTAAGGCTCTAGTTTATTAAGTTCAATGATGGTTGTAATATATTATTTACCTCCAATATTATTTTAGGTAGTTATTATTATTCACACATCCCAGCATCCCACTCAACTGCTCACTTTTAAGTATCTGTCATTTGCTTCTTCTTGTGAGTTATATCATTTGCTTCCTCAGACCCTTTCTCTCCTATGTAATAGTCTATTGAATTGCTATTAACCTTCACCAGGGGCAATTATTCCTTTCTTCTGACTTCCTTATTCATTTTTTCAGTCTCTTTTGGATTCTCTGTTCTCCATTCACATGTAATTCCGAGATTGTTCATTAGTTTTGTGAAATTGTGAGAAGAAAGAATTTGAGAGAAAGCACAGTGAGAGCCAAGAGCTGGGAGGAAAAATTTCATTAACATTAAAAGGAATGGTGATATTCTATATCTTGACTTACTGTGGATAGGAAAACAAGTCCTTCTCCAAGAAGATCACCAACTAAGAAGCTAACACTAGTAAGATATGAGAATAGAAACTTCTTCATAATTCTACCCTTTAAAAGATAATCCTGTTTAACAGATGAGAAATGAAATAACAAATTCACCTAATAAAGGAAGTGATTACATTTCCATAGGTACCCAGCTGAGTCCACATGGAGAATTGTTATATCAGGCATATCGTACTAGCACAGATACAAGGTCTACAAAGAGCATAGATATTAAATGCTTAATGGAACATATGAAGGAAAAAATATAAGAACTTCTACGTGGTAACTATTTCCACAGAACTAGCAAGTATACAAAAAGGTAGTGATAATTCAATCATCTCCTCCTAAGAAAATTTTTAAGATAAAGTCTAAAGCCTGAAACGTACTCAAGACTCTGATTTGACCTCTACATATCCATGCAACTTCTGACCTTGACCTTCCTTTATAACACCTTGGCCTCCAGCCCTGACAAACCATTTGTAGTTCTCCAGATCTTGTGTTTATACCTCCGTTGCACACAGGTCTGAAGTATCCTTCCTTCTTTTAACTGCCTATTAATTTTTTACTTTTTCTTCAAGATACCCTTTGAGAACCACTACTTTTGTGATGTATTGTCCAAGGACCTCAGGGAAAATCAACTATTTCTTCCACCTTGTTCTATATCATCTTGCATACATAATTACCTGAGTCCTTACAACATTGCTATAATTATTATATGTCTGTCTCAGTATTTTATTTCTGTATTCTGGAACTTTGAATATTCATTCATTTCAGTATATTCATTTATATATTCATTGCTCATTGAATGCTCACTAATGAATTTTTTAAAGTTTGTAAAAAATGTTATGATTACTAATCACTAATTTGAGATTATCTTTTGAATTTAGGATTCCCTACTTTCATTTCCCTTACGATGGGTCTCCAAGGACACCTCACTAGTACAGGCCCTTACAGTTTCACAGCTGGACTTAAACACTGTTTTAACTCTCTTTGAGCCCAGTCTTCCCCATGGCCAATTTTATGCATAATTTTGAAGATAATCTTCAGTAGATACCTATTCTTATATAAAATGTTTTAGCAATCATTGTTCACCTATTTAACTGAATGTTAACTAAATATTTCATTGCCGGCCCTTCCCCATATCTTGCCTTCCATAAATACCCTGTTAATGTATCTCTCTGTTCTGAGCTCAGCTATTTTCTTTGACAAACAGGTTGCTTGCAGTGAGAAATCCCTCCTTGTTGATAGGTCAGCAGCATTTAACTTGCATTCCACTTCCTTGATAAAGTCTTCTAATATTCTGGCTCATTTAGCAAGGACTTCACCATTTAGAACTGTTTTCTCATGTAAATCTTGTGTAAGTTTGTTTTACCTCCCTCCCTTCAATGCTATCTCCAGGTTGAGTAAAACAACATTTTTTTTTTCCCTGTATCTCTTCCCACTAAAATTTTGTACTTTGCTAGATATAATATATACATAAAAATAATTCTTAATTTACTAACAAATATTTCCCACCACATTTTGTTACTCTATATTGACATATAACACCTTGTACCTTCTATATAATGATCTTGCTTTCATGTTGCCTTCTAATTGTTTCAGGTACATAAATCAACTCAATCTACGGGTTATACAACTGTTAAGAGCAGAAACAGATTTCTATATGGAAAGTCAGTGGAGTGTATTGGGAAATGCACCGAAGTGGGAGTCAGAAAACTCAGGTCTTAATTCTGCCACTTGAATGATCTGCTGGAAAGTTATCTTTTATTACCATCGTTTTATCCACGTGTGAGATGAAAACAAAATCCTCAGGGATGTTTGTGAAAATTAAATGAGATACTATGTGTGGAAACATTCTGCAAACTATAATATGCTATACAGTATAAGGTATTTCTTATGTCTTCAAAATTCTTGTGGACAGGACATGCTGTGCACAAAACAGACTGTCAGGAAAGTCTCCCTGAGAGACTTGAGTCAAATTGGGTGGGTCATATTTCCTACAGTTTTTAAAGCATTAGTCAAAAAGTCCCATTCCTCAGCTTTATTACAGTCCAATGCAATTTTTGGCAAGATGTGTTTCAACATTTTCCATCTGCATGACCTCTTGTAGCTCTACTTCTTGCTTTACCAATTCACCCATGAAATTTGCTTTGTCAATTCTCTCTTCCACCTCACCGAGGTAGCTGCCATACCTGGAACAGTCTTTATTCTCAGCCTTGCCTACATTTCTTTCCAGTGGGCTCCTCTTCCCCTCTGCTGGTTGCCAAGGAGAAGCACGTTTATTGGCACGGCCCCCAAACAGATGCCTGCCTGTCTCCCTTCCCCCTTTCTCTTTCAGCCAAACCATCACCTGCCAAGGGCTGGTGGTTGCTGCCACCCCAGTCCACTGCCTCACACTGCTGCGGCTCGAGTCCTTTTTGGCAGCCTCTACCGAAGTTCCCCTGCCAGCAGCCTCCCCCTCTTGACTGCAGCTCTCCTCGCTCCCGCCAGTCTCTCCCCCGCTTGGTCTGCGCGCAGCCTCTTCCTCCCGCCCTAGCCAGCTGCTTTACTCGCCTTTCTTCAGGCTGCTCCCTCTCCTTTCCTCCCCAGCCCTTCCCCAAGCTCCCACAGCGCGATCCTTTCAGGCGCCCCCGCCCTCTCTGGCCCGGTGTTTTGTTAACACCCGGACCACCTCTCCGGGGTCCCAGTGTGTACCTGTTTCCACCAGACAGAACATCTTTGGGAAGTGAGCATTTTCCTCGTGCTTTGTATTTGACTAGATTTCCCTCACGCCCCCACCCTTTGCCATCCCCGCGAGCCCAAAAGGCGGGATGTTATGATGGTAGAGAGAATTCAGGGAGACAACAGGCCACATACTTGGTTGGTGGGCCCCAACAAAGTTTTGGACGCTCAGGACTTTCCAGCTCAGGCTTTTTAAACTTGGCCTGCTGGCAACAGACCCGAGCCCCCAAGCAGCGCACAGTGACCCGGGCGCTCCCTCAGATTCCCAGCGTTTTTTCGACTGAGGACGACGGTCGCCCACCGGGACCAGGCCTGGGCAGCTCCCCAGCCCATACCGGGGTCCGCAGCCTGAGCCCCAGCCAGTCCCCGGCAGGAGAGGAGCGCACTTGTTTCTAGGTGCTCGGCGGAAGGTGGGCGAGACGAAAGAATGGAGCCGCCCAGGTTCTTGCGTGCTTGTCTCGAGGATAAGGGGTGGGTGGTATATTAAACACCACGTCTCAATTCAGGGCCCTTCTCCCGGGCTGTCTACTTTCAGTGCGCGGTACAGTGGCAGTTCCCCTTTACCAGCCGTCTCCTTTAAGAAGCGCGCGCGTGCGAGTCGGGTTGTGTGAGTGTGTTCGTGTGCAGATGTGTGTGTGTGTGTGTGTGCGCGTGTGCGTGTGTGTGTGTGCGCGCGCGCGCGCGCCGAGGGCCCAAGAGTCAGGCAGACCCCGGGAAGGAGGAGTTATGTAGATTACGGATGAACATTCTGGAGGGGAGCGAGGAGAGGAGGGAAGGAGAAGCAGAGACGAGAGAGCGAGGAGCGGCCGAGACCCTTCCCGCAGAAGCAGGAGGCGGTAGCGGCGGAGGAGGAGTGGGCGGTGGAGGAGGAGGAGGACGCACCCTCTGGAGGCGGCGGCGGCTGCTGCGGCTGCGACTCGGTTCTTTGAGCCGGAACCGCCGGTGAACTTGGGCGCCACGTTCCCGGCCGCGGGCCCACGAGGATGGTGAATGCGAGCTGCTGCTGACTCTACCTCAGCCGCTGCTTCTCTGGGGGCTGCCGAGCGCGGGGGCCCTCTGTCTCCTCCCCTTGCCGGGCTGTGGGTGAACCTGCAGGCTCCTTACCCACCCGGAGGACTTTTGAAAGGAAACCAGGGAGGGAGGGAAAGGGAGAGAGGGAGAAAACGAAGGGGAGCTCGTCCATCCATTGAAGCACAGTTCACTATGATCTTACTCACATTCAGCACTGGAAGACGGTTGGATTTCGTGCATCATTCGGGGGTATTTTACTTGCAAACCTTGCTTTGGATTTTATGTGCTACCGTCTGCGGAACGGAGCAGTATTTCAATGTGGAGGTAAGAGTACGAGGGCTTTCTTCCTTCCCCCTTGCCTGGGCTGCTCCCTGAAACATATCGTTCGCTCGTCAGATCCTTGTAGCTCACAGCAGCCAGGGTCTCAACACATTGTTTCCCTTCCAGCCGCCAAGACCCGTGTTGAGTTTCCCTGTCTTAGGTGATGGATGCGCGTGAGACTGAGAATCCGTTATCCCCAGCAGCACAAAGCACCGTGCTGCGCGCTCAAAGACACAATTGTAGCCGATCCATGCTTCTTATCAAGGAAAGAGGCGAAGACCTAGAAGACCTACATATAGCAAACGTGTAGTTTCATAAAAGCAGTTTGAGTTTATAATAAATAAACTGCTCGGGAAACACAGAATTCATTGCTTGGCATAATGTGCTGCCTTGGTATTGTTCCTGAAATCTTTTTCCCTGTGTTTTGTGCCTAACAAAGGAGGTTAAAATCAAACAATCTAGAGGAGAGCGTGGGAATACTTGATATGTTTAATAACATTACTTTGTGATAAAACACTTGACTAGACAGAGTCTTTTACTCATTTAGACATAACTTAATACACTGTAACTAGATCTGGCTTCACAGAGGACATGAAATCCATCTCTTGAAGTGTTTTTGCTTCCCCTCCCCCGCCAATTGAAAATAAATGTGGCCCAATGTAATAGTTCTGAGGTGTGTCTTACAATTTGATTTCACACTCTCATGGCAAAACATAGAGGATTTAGACTGTCATTTGCTTTACTTTGATAGCTTTGGGAACAGACAGACACAAAGCAAAAGGGAACTTAAGGATAACGACTTGTCAGACCTCTGCCAAAGTACTTTTCCTGTCATCAACTCAGCACTAAAGCCAGTAACATGCAATAAATCAATGGAAGCTTGTATACACCTGGGTTCTAACCAGTTTATCACCTACACGGTGGAGTAAAAGACAATAAGAGGGTCTTAGTAAAATATACTCCTTTTGGTTAGATCTTCTGTCACCTCAAAAGAATTATGATTAAGTCTCTGAAGAATAATGTGATTTTTTCCCCTATATTGTTGATTCTTTAAAGCTTATTTTCATTTTGTTGGGTGTGTGTGTTTACACAACAGCAGAACCTGTTGCACAGTATTTGAATGTGTTTCATGTAACAGATTTATATACAAAGTGTGCATAATAAATGCCATATGTGAGGGCATATTCTGAATATAATTCTCTGTTGTATAAACTGTTCTTAGGACTACATGTAATAAGTGATGGTTAATAGAGAAACAAAATATTTGAAAAAGTAAGAACCATTATCAAGAATTAAGTTTACAGATATTAAGTATGATTATATTACACCCAAACCCTAATTCAAACCAAAACTGTTTAACCCTTTGAAAAATACAACTTTGTTTTTCTGAATAAAAGAGATGGAAAGGTAAATCTGGTAAGTCCAGACTTTTCTTGGTTGCAAATTTGAACTGTTGGAATTGCATGCCACAGATGGATTTTTGTTTCTAATGTTTAAATCAAGAGATAATTTAATGTGGAAATGAAAAAAAGTAAGCAGTTCATAGACTAGAGGAATGAAAGTGGCAAGCTGTTATTTATAAGGTTATAAACAGAAGGGCCTATTGCTTCAGATTGGTGGTGGTGGTGATGGTGGTGAGATGGGGTGTGGGGGAGGTGTTAAAAGTAGGGGCTAGTTTTATCTTGCTCAATCTGAAGAGGGAGGGAGAGCCTGGATTCATGGCCACCTGCTTTAGGAAAGTCTTAGATTTGCTTTCAGAGATTATTGGGATAACATAAGTGTATTGATGATCATTAGCTTTCCTTTTTGAGCCTAAATAAAATGTGCGTGTATTTCTTCATAGTTTGAATCCCTCAATCAGTTCAATAAGATATTATTATGGGAGAAAAAGTTATGATTTTGCTAAAAAAAATTTTATTTTGAATTTCTGTAATTTCTGTTCTTTCTTCAAGATACATTTTAAAAATTGTTCATGGAAAAAAGAGGGGTTTTTTTTCCTTCCATTTTTAGAGTATTTAACTTATTCCATCCATATTTATTACACAATGCAAAGATTTAATTATGAAAGATAAGAGGCATGTGCCATCTGAGACCTTAAAAAGGGTATTTGATACAAAGGAGATTTTCTAATTATTTAAAGTAGATTATGTTTCAGAGTTTGTATTATTCCCAAATAGCATTTTTTAAGCATTTGAACATATCCTTAGTTGGGTTTATATACTTATTTGTGTGTCATGATAACCTCCTTTTTTTAAAATCATAAGAATAGCTGCTAGGTAATTCAGCATACTATAAAGAACACGGATGACAGGATATTTTGTGGCATGAATTTCTGCCTGATTCACTTTTATTAGATGTTTCTTTTTGGTAGGAAACAGTAATGGGAAGAATAGTCCATCACATCTTCAGAAAAGGCATTTATATTGTGTTGCACATTCTGATTGCAAAACATAAACTGAGACTGCTTCATTTGACTGATTCTTAAAGACAGTCTTAAAATAAACAGTAATGGTATCAATCATGCATGAAGCTCATATGATCACATTTTTTTTTTCTAGCAAGCGCACTAAGTTATTATAGTTGGAACGAAGCTTCTAAGAGATGCTTTTTATGCTGACAACTGAGATTACAATGCTTTATTCCTCTCTGAGCTTCACAATTGGTGGAACCCCTATACTTTTAATTTCTACAATTTAATGTTTAAAAACCTGTGTTCCCCCCCCATCTAGGTGGGAGGGAGTTGGGTAGAGGTATTCATGTTAACTCTTTCCTGTCTGATTTTGAAAGTATAAATATTTGAAATTTTTAAATTTTAGAGCAGGAGATATTTGTTAATATGCTGATGAAAGCCTATTACAGAGAAAGAGTGCATTTTGTTTGTTTGTTTTTGTATTTAAGAAGCAAAAAGGAACATCTCTTACAGCTAAGAAGGGTAAGACACTACCAGAAGCAGTACTATGGAAGAGATTCAATAAATTCCCCTCCTTATATATTTCTGGTAGAACACTGTTTAATGCTAAAATTTCACTATACATTTGTTTAAAGATTTTTGTATATCACTGGATCCATTTATTGGAGTGCGCCTTTCAGTGTGTAATCATTAGCATGATGCAAAGGAGGTACATTGCTAATATTAACTAAAACTCAAAGACTGCTGTCATTGGACAGCAGTCTGAATCAGACGTGTTCATTGGTCAGAAGAAGCTAAATTGTTAGCAGAGAATCATGATTTAATCTGTACGCTCTAAAAAGTCATTTTGTGGCTAAAATAATTTTCATGTTGTAGTGGGGATTCTCATGATCCTGAGACTCCTTTATTTATTTATTTTTTTAACACTGCAAACACTTTTGTCATGAAATTAAGATAGAATATAGTTCATAATCAATAACTTTCATCATCAACTTTCATAGTTTGTCAAGTGTTAAATATTTATGTGAACATGTTCTTTATTTTTTTAAACAATAGCACACATTTCTAGTGAGAAAAATTATTTTAAGCCAATTTAATGGTAAAATAAAAGCATGTGATACTCTGAATGATGCACATATCAAAGCATGAGAAGAATGACTTGGTGACAAAAAGAACTTGATAAAACAAAAATTGATTTTGTTCCTTTCTTTGTTAAAGAAAGAAGAGAGATTCTAGATTTCTGAAGGCTGTTTTATGACAAATACTATGAATTGTGAGTGTAACCCTCCTACATTTTTCTTGCAGTGTTTAACTGATTTAGTATTTATTCACCTTTGTCAGGTTTATCTGAATCTACCTAAAAGTTCAGTTTCCTTGGATTAGCTTTGTACTGCATATCATCTTAGCAGGAATTAGTGGTGAGACATTTCAGAGATAAAAAATATATATTTTACAGATTTTAAAATGTCAGATGTTGGGATCTTTTCTCATATCTCTTATTTTCTACTTGCTTAAATAATCAACATGCATTATTTTATTTGCTCATGGAAGGATGGTGACAACGTGATCTGGTCAATCTCCTTGAGTAAGGGATTCTGACTACATCCCATAATTTTCCGTGGTAGCAGTTTTATACTGGTCAATAGCAGGGGCTGCATAACTGATTCACAAAGGTTTTTAACCTGCAGCAACATTCCATGCTTTGGAATCCCGAGTTTGCTGGCCATTCAGAATATCAAAAGAACCAAGAACTCTGACAAAGAGGCCAGAAGACTCACTAGGCCTCAGGTTCTTCAGCTTCTCCTGTGTGTTCCACCTTAACTGTGCCTTTCTCTGTTCAGAATTGCTTGGTCGGGTTGCCCAAATCTAGGGTTATTCATGAAATCCTTACTATTGAGCCTATACCAGTGAGGTAGATTGTCTCATACTACCCCTGAGAAATCCACAGAAAATAACCATCCAAGTCCATCCCTTTGTACAGCTGGGTTTTCGCTTTCAGTCTCTTCATCCCTATCAAGTAAGAATAGAGTTGGGTTCAATAACAGCTTTTTAATCTCTAGAGTCAGGTGAAAAGTGATAGATCTGGGCTTCCCTGGTGGCGCAGTGGTTGAGAGTCCGCCTGCCGATGCAGAGGACGCGGGTTCGTGTCCCGGTCTGGGAAGATCCCACATGCCGCGGAGCGGCTGAGCCCGTGAGTCATGGCCGCTGAGCCTGTGCGTCCGGAGCCTGTGCTCCGCAACGGGAGAGGCCACAACAGAGAGGCCCGCGTACCACACACACACACACAAAGTGATAGATCTAAAGTTTATAGCTATTTCAGGTTATTAACATGAGAAAATTTTAATGCACTTGTTCAGTGGTATAATTATTTTCTCTTATGTTGGATTAATCAATTATTTTATGTAAATTTATTTTTCTGCCTGACCTACCCCAAGGTACTACTCAAAATGTATCTGATCAGAATATTTGGTAAATGACCAACTGAAATTATTTCTGGACCAAAAAAGGACATTGAACATTTAAATCAATTAGTTAAATTTGTTGAGTGTCAAGACAAAGACTGATTTCATTGTGCACCTTCAGGAGCTTTCTG